AGGCTGAGCCTGTGGAACTCCCTGCCGCCAGATGTGGTGGCGGCCGCCACTGGGGATGGCCTGGAGGGGCTGGGCCTGTCCGAGGGAGGCAGGCTGTCCTGTCCCGGGCTGGGAGGCAGGGGCTCGTGCCAGCAGGATGCTGGACCTCAGGGCCCCTTCGTCAGGCGCTGTTCGGCCGCTTGCCAACGCCCCGTGCCACACTGGGCTCCGCAGGTCTGCCCGCAGCAGCTGTCCTGGCAGCCGGGCCCCGTGGGCTCACGCAGCCGCAGGCGAGGGGCCTGGCCTCCTCTCGTGACCTTCAGATCGGCTGTCCTGGCAGAGGCCGGCTGCGCGCAGCCGAGAGGAGCACAATCTGCTATCATTTGCATTCGTTCGGGACAGCAAAGCAGCTCGGGATCAGGAGGCCTGGAGGATTCTGGGAACGGTGCCCGCTTCCTCACGGCCTCATGGCGACACCAGCTGGGAAGGGAGCCGGAGCCGGTTGAGGCACCACAGGCCGCGGGGGCACCGGGTCCCAGAACCATCTGCCGCCCGCACGTCTGGCCTGTGATCCGTGCACGGGGGTCTCCACAGTGTGCCGTGCGGGGGCTGCGTAGGCACAACGCCGGGTGCTATTCCCGAGGCAGCCTCCGTGCCCTTCGCCGGCCAGGAACCCTCCAGCTCTCTTGGCTTCAGTTCCCATCGTCCCCAGGCAGCACGGCACTGATTGGAAATGCTCGGATCGGTAGCCCCATCCCGAGGGCGCCTGGGAGCTGGCCTTCAGGGCCTGCGGTTTGTTGCCTCGGGGGCCCTGTGGCCGCTGCCTCGCCGCCCGGGACCGCACTGGGCACGCGGCGGATGCGGCATCCCCGACAGCAGGCTGGGGAGCCGAAGAGGCGGGGGCCACAAACGGGGGTCCTGCGGGAGAAAGCGGGGCGCAGAACCCTCCTCTGCCTTCGTTTCCGTGCCCGAGGCATCAGTGGGAAAAGGCGGCGGGGTCTCTGGGGCCCTTGCTCTGCAGGACCGCGGGTGCTTGACCATCAAAAGGGGACGGGGTTGGGCACCCTGGGAGAGCGGGCTGGAGCCCTGCTCTCGACGGACTGGCTGGGCCTGATCCAGCCCTGCAGGCTCCGGCATTTGTGACCTGCGTTTCCCGGGACCCCTCTGTCTGCCTTTCTCCCGGCTTTGCACGGTCCCTTTTTCCTTCTTAGGTGGCTACGCTGCAGGCGTGGGGCCCTCTCTGCTGCTTGGTGCCAGCCACGGAGATGTGGCGCCTTCCTGGGGCTTTGGACCGTGGCTCCCTGCATCATCCCTGACCTTCAGCTGTGCTGGCGAGTGCTGATGGGGGGTGTAGTCCAGCATACCTGGAGGGTGCTGGGTGGACAGCCTCGCCGAAGAAGGCCGTGCGTGGTTGAGGGCTCCCCACCCCGAGGCGCTCGAGGTGCCTCCGGGAAGCCCTTTGAGAGGAAGGCTTGGCTCAGGAGGCCTGCACTGGGGGGGGGGGGGGCTGGACCCGACGGCCCTCCCGCCCCCTCTGAATGGCCGATCCCGCGATGCTGTGGCAATTAACTTTGCATCTGCACCGGAAGGAACAGTTCCGCGCTGCGTCCTCTCCCTAGGAGGTGTCGGGCATTCGTGTTTTAAGATGGAAGGAACTGTACTAGAAAAAGACCGTTTGGTGCGCACCTTGGAAGCCGCTCGCTTCTGCCGCCCGTCGTCTTCCCCCTCGCCCCGGCGCGCTGGTGCGCGCATCTTTTCATCTGACAAATTTTTGTGGGAAGCGGATGCATTATTAAGGCTGGGAGAGGGACGAACAGCAGCAGCAGCGAGCGCCTTTCTCTCCCAGCCTCTCCTGCCTCCTCCTTTCCGCCTGCTCTTTAGCCATGATTACAGTGTGGTTTATCATTTTAATCTGCTTGAAATGTCATCTGAACGTGGAGTAATTAAGGCGAGCCGACCGAGTCTCCCCTGCCTTCCAGAGCAGGCAGCTCACCCAGAGGAGCTGGAGCACCCTGGGCTGTGGCAGAGGGGGGCGGTGCCCCCGGGCTTCCGGCAGCTGCGGGGCGTGGGGAATCGGGGCCAGCCACGCAGGGGCGAGGAGGCCTGCCCTGCCCCGCCCTGCCCCAGGAGGGTCTTCCCCACCGTGTGCCCCCCCCCCAGCACTCTGGGGTGCAGCCCCAAGGTCTCCGGCGCTCCTTGTGGAGCTGAGCAGGGCCTGCCTCCTCTGATCAGCGCTCCCTCAGCCCGGCGTCGCCTTTCCCCGCTGTGATCTCTCTGCTTCACGCTCCGCACCTGGTCTCTTGGCATTGCCACTTTGATCTCCCTGCCCGCCCGCCCCTCTTCCTCGCACACCTTTCCCAATCCTCCGCAGCTCCCCTGGAAAGTCCTTGAAGGGGCTGTCCAAGTGCGAGGGGGACACGTGCCAAGATCAAAGCCAGTGCAAATCTCGGATTCTCGGATTCTCTGCGTGGTTTGAGGAGTCCTCCTGCCACTGGAAAGGAGGCTGGCGCGAGATTGAGCAGGCAGGGAGGGGCTGCTGTGGGTCAGGACCTCCAGGGCCCCCTTGGGGGAGAGGGCATGGAGGGTCACCTGCCTCCGCACCGCCGGGGGGAGCACATCCCCCAAGGGCCAGCCCCCCGCCTCTGCCACAGACAGTGGCACAGCTGCTCCACCAATGCCACCACCACGGCTGCCCGGGACGCCTGGGGCCCCCAGCCCAGCTCCCGGGAAGCCACGGCGCAGGCCGCAGAGCCGGGATCCAGGGGCGCCCCCCCTTTCGGGGTGCTCCTCTCGATGGGCAGGACTGTGTGGGGCTCGCTTGGGGCCGTGCATGCCCGTTTTCCAGGAGGCCGGTGGGTGGGCAGCCCGTGTGCCCCAGGCCTGGCCCCGAGGCTCCCTTTGGCCCGGGACTCGCCTGTCTCCAGCGGGCAGGGCCAGGGGGGAGCAGCAGGGGGAGCCCTGGCCGAAACCCCCCAGTGGCCGCCCGCAGCCTGCTCGGCGGGGCCCCTCTGGCGGAGGCGATGCCCAGGCAGTGACGGGCTGAGCCTCCCGTGGCGCAACGTTGCCTCTTGCAGCGGCGGCTGCGCGCCATCATGGCCGACAGATGGGCCGGAGACTCCCTGAGCCTGGCGGAGTTTCGGCTGGGACGGGGGAGGGCAGAGGAAAGTTCTTCCGCACCCAGGACGCGGGCATGAAAGGGGAGCCTTTGTTCCCGCCCCCCCGCTGCAGCTGCCCCCCTTCCCGCAACAGAAAGCAGGGAGAGGCGGCGGGAGAACGAGCTGCTCTCAGCGGCTTTCCCGAGTTCGCACCGAGATAAGTTATCGCTTGGTCAATAGTTCTCTGTCTGCACAAGGGCTGCCCCTCCAGTGAATCGATTCGGCAGGAGATGGGCATGCGCGGAAGACCTTCGAGCAGACGCAAAGGCACACGCCCGCTTAATGGAGCAAGGCATTTTTAAAGGTTAATTATTATTTTCAATGCAGATCCTTATTAAAGGAGAAACGCTGCAGATGGCGAGTGCCGGGGACCGTTGCGAAGAGCCGTGCCCAGGGGAGTCGGAGGGGAAGCGGGCGCTGCTCCCGGAGCGCCCGGCCTGCGATGGCTGTGTGCCCGAGACTGAGCGTGTGTCCCCCCCGCCCCCCTCCAGAGACTCTGGCCCTGTGCAGGTGTTTGCCGATTTGGTGGGCTTCTTCATGGGCACCGATCCAGCTTTCTGTCATTGGACACGGCCCTCCCCGTGTGGTCCGAGCCGCCGATCGCTGCCCTTCTGGCCGCCACTTCCTGTCCTGTGGAGCCAGCTGTGCAAGGACCCCCCCCCCCCCCGTGTCTGGTGCTGGGCATTCTGGCCCCCATCAGCCCCAGGCAGCACCAGGGATGCCAGGAGTCTGGAGGGGCAGGGATGGGGATGGGGTCCCTGCGCAGCCCCCAGCCCGGGTGGCGGGGCGAGGGGATGCTTGGCAAGGGCTTGTGGGGCACCCTTGGAGAGGCGCCCGGCCTGTGCGGAGGCCGGGAGCAGAGTCTGCCGGGGGGGGGGGGGCTGACCTATGGATTTGCAAGGGACGAGTGCGTCCTGCCTACACACCTGCAGATGGCTGCGGGGGCAGCGTCCTGGATGCAGGCAAGCGTGAGAACACGGGGCAGTCCGGCAGCCTGGGGCCCTCCTGGGGTTGCGCAGCCGCAGCCGGGCTGGCCTAGGGGGCACCGGCTGGGGAAGGCCCCTCGCCCCGCTGGTGGCGCAGCGGAAAGGGGTGCCCACCAAGGCAGCCCTGCTTCCCGGGCTCTTCCCCACCCAGCACTGAGCCCAGAGCTGGAGGCGGCAGCTGGCGCTGGGCTGCCGAGCGAGCGAGCGAGCGAGCGATCGATCTCCCCATCGCTCTGGGCTGGTGGGCCGTGGGGCGCCGCGTGACGGCTGCTGGGCGGCATCGATCGAGCGGGGGCGCGGGAGGGCCCCTTGGGACCCCGGCCAGGGCACAGCCTGGAGGGGACTTGCTGCTGCTGGGCGCCGTCGAGTGGGGAGGGGCTGGTGGGGGCCAGTTGCAGCCACCCTGGACGGTGGAACGGCCGCCTCTAAGCAGGTCTCTCCCCGGGAGAGAGCGGCTAAGGAGTAGCGCGCCTGCCGACGGGGTGCGCGTTTGTGTGTGCGCTTTGTGCTCTGCAGTGGTGTGCACGTGGAAGGGTCCAGGCAGTCGCTCAGCGCTGGGAGGGGGCACGCGTGTGTCCCGGGGAGGAGTGAAGGCCTGTGGTTGCGCGTGGCATCCAGTTGTGGCATCGTCCGGCTGGCTGCCCCTCGGAAGCCCCCAAGGCTGGGCGCCGTCGTGTGCGGGCCTTCTGCGGAGCAGGCCAGTCTCCGGGTGCCTGGGCAGGACGGGATGCGGCCTCTGTCCCCCCACAACTTCCCACTTCCCATTCCTTTCCTGCCCAGTTCTGCACACCCGGTTCCTGGAGGAGCCCGAGGACCAGACGGTGGTGGCCGGCCAGCGGATCGTGCTCTCCTGCGTGGTGCTGAACTACTCCGGGATCGTGCAGTGGACGAAGGATGGCCTGGCCCTGGGGATGGGGCAGGGCCTGAAAGGTGGCCCCAGCCCTCCCCTCCCCTCCCCTCCCCTTGCCTGCCTTCTCGCCCCCTGGCTGGCCTCCCTTGCCCTGGGAGGGCCCCTCTGCTCTGGAGGCGGAGGCGGGTGGGTGCAGGGCTGCCCTGCTGCTGGTCCGGGAAGCTGCCGAGCCCCAATTTAAGGGCAGGTTTCTGGCACCCCGACCGCCTGCCTTGACCAAGCCCTGGCCGCCTGCGCGGTGCCCACTAGGTGTGTGGAGAGCGCCACCTGCTGGCGGAAAAGGGGAGGCCAGCCTGCCTCTCGCCACTGCGTCCGCACACGTTAGGGCTCGGCTGAGCTCTGTGCATGCCTGGGGACTCTCGCATCCCTGCCACCCCGGTGCAGGATCTAGAGCGGAGGCCTAGCACGCGGCCGGCCATCTGCGCCCGGGTCTCCGAGGGAGGCGTCTGTCCTCGCCCCGTCTCACCCGCCTCTCTTTCCTCAGCCTGGCCCCGCTACAGGATCATCGGGGCCGCCGACTCGGGGCAGTACAACCTGGAGATCAGTGAGGCCGAGCTTTCCGACGATGCCTCGTACGAATGCCAAGCCACGGAGGCTGCTCTGCGCTCGCGGCACGCCAGGCTGACCGTGCTGAGTGAGTGCCCTTGCCCTTGCCCTTGCCCGCCCCGGCTCGGCTTCCCCGCTGCTCCACCGCATCCCCTGGCGTGGGGTGGCGCGAGGGAGCAGCAGGGGCGGCCAGGACCCCTCCCCGGATAAGCAGGAACAGTGGCGCAGGTGATCTGGGACAAGGCCCGCTCCTTCCTCCGTGACACCACGCTCGCCTGCTGTCCATCCTGCATTTTGGGGACCCTCATCCACAGGGGGAGACCCTGGGCACGCCTGCCCCCCTCCCACCCAGCAGCCACGTGCAGATGCGGTTAATGACGGGGCTCCCGGACTCTTGCCCGCTGCACCCCTTCCCTCCCTCATGTCGTCCCGACGATCTGCCAGGCAGGCCCCAGCCTTGTCCTGCCGGCTCCCTTCTCCTCCTTTGCAGTGTTAGTGTTCATATTAATAATAAATTAAAGGCTAATGAATCAGTAATGGCCCCCACCTCCACGCCTGAGAAGGATGAATCCCCCCAAAAGCCTTCCACCCGTCTCTTCATCTTCCCGGGTGGCAACTGGCTGTCAACCGCGGGCTCAGATTCCTTTTTCTTTAAAGTGGGGAAGGCAAACCTGGAGCCCCCCCCCCCCAATTTCCTTGTCATCTTAATCAGAGCTTCCTCTAATCAGAGCTACTGAACTGCCATCAATATTTCAGGTGTGCAGCCTCCCTTTTCTTGCCTTCTTCATCTGAATTCTCCGCCTTCCTATGAAAACATGCGAGGCTCGCAGGGCGAGGGCCGCTCCCCACCCCCCCGAGAGCAGCGTCTCCTAAAACTTCAAGCCCCGCCGACTCCCCCTCAAGCTCCACGGGGCCCTGCAGGTCTCCTCGTCTGCAGGGAGAGGGACAGGAGACGCGCGGTTTCCCGGGGAGGCGCAGCAGAGGGCGCATCCTGGCGCGCCAGCTGTCCCATCGGCCGGGCCGGGCCCCTCATGCCCCTGCGCCTTCGGGCCCTTTCTCCCGAGCGAGGCCCCCACAGCTCTTTGACCGCTCGTGGCCATCGGGCGGCACGGCGAGGCCCCGTCCACACAGGGCCGTGTTTGCACAGCACGGTGCCGCGTGCCCGCACTCCGAGGCTCGCCCCTTTCCCTTCCCCCTGCGCGGGGTCTCTGCCCCAGGTGTGTTCCAGGCATCTCACCGACTCGCCCTCTGTCCAGTTCCCCCCGAGGACCCCACGATTGATGGCGCGCCTGAGATCCTGCTGCGGGCTGGCACCCCGCGCAACCTCACGTGCCGGGCCCGGAACGCCAAGCCGGCGGCCACCATCGTCTGGTTCCGCGATGGGCTCCCGCAGTCGGACGCCGCCACCAGCACGGTACGAATCGCGGCCCCGGGGGGCGGGGGGCGGTCGCACGGGCGTGCCCCACGCGGGCACCGCTTCCGTCCCGCTGGAGCCGCGGTGCCGGCCCCTCCTCACGCCCTCCGCCCCCCAGGAAGTGCTGCCGGATGGGAAGCGGGAGACCACCGTGAGCCAGCTGCTGATCAACCCCACCGACCAGGACATCGGCCGCGTGTACACGTGCCGCTGCGCCAACGACGCCATCCCGGCGGGCAAGGAGGCCTCCGTCACGCTCGACGTACACCGTAGGGCCTCCCCGCTTTGCTCTTGGCCGGGGACCCAGGGGCTCCTGGGTGGGGGCCCGGGTGGACTGGGGCCCCGTGGTGGCCCCCGATCCCTCAGAGGGCGAGGAAGGGGAGGAGTGGCGTGGGACCTGTGTGTGCACGCGCGTCCTGCCCCCCCCCGGAGGGGGAGCAATGCGATGCTCCCCAGGTGCTCTAGGCTGCAGCTCCCAGGGTGCCCACCGCAGGGCGTCGGGGCTGGGATGGGTGGGACTGCAGTCCACGAAGGGCGTTGACCCCCCCCCCCTTTGCATGGCAGACCCTCCCACGGTGACGCTCTCCATCCAGCCGCAGACGGTGCAGGAAGGGGAGCGGGTGACCTTCACCTGTGTTGCCACTGCCAACCCCGAGATCAAAGGCTACAGGTGAGTCGTGGGCCGAGGGAGGGGACGCCCCGGGCCACGGCGGCTCGTTGATGCCCCCTCCTTCCTCGCCACCCCAGGTGGGCAAAGGGCGGCGTGGTCATCGAGGATGCCAGGGAGAGCAAGTACGAGACGCAGGTGGACTACACCTTCTTCACGGAGCCCGTCTCGTGCGAGGTGCACAACGACGTGGGAAGCACCAACGTCAGCACCCTGGTGGACGTGCACTGTGAGTGGGCACCCTCCTCGTGCCACCGCATGCCTGGCGCCTCCGCCCTCGTCCGCCCGCCGGCATACCCCGCGGTCGGGAGGGCCGGGCGTCACTGCCCGACGCACCTGGGGCGCCGCGGGCGGGAAGGAGCCCCGCGGGGCGCCCTGGCAGGCGTGGCGAAGGGCCGGCGCTCCGCCCTGGGTCCCCCGCGTCCGGCGCCGGGGCAGCAGCCCGATCCCCCGTGGGCCCCGTCGCCCCCCTGACGAGCCGCCTCTCTTTGCTCCCGCCCTCCGGCAGTCGCGCCGCGCATCGTGGTGGACCCGAAGCCCACAACCACCGACATCGGCTCGGACGTGACGCTGACCTGCGTGTGGGCCGGGAACCCCCCGCTCACGCTCACCTGGACCAAGAAGGAATCCAACATGGTCAGTGCGCTGGCTGGGGGGGGCGGCCCCGCACAGCTCCCGGCCCCCCCCGGGCCCCCCTCACGCCCGCCGTGTCTGCCGCCCGTGTCCAGGTGCTCAGCAACAGCAACCAGCTGTACCTCAAGTCCGTCACGCAGGCGGATGCCGGGCAGTACGTCTGCAAGGCCATCGTGCCGCGGATCGGGGTGGGCGAGCGCGAGGTCACCCTCTTCGTCAACGGTGAGCGACGCGGCACCCGGCTGCTCCGGGCCCCCCCAGGCGGCTCCCCGGCTCCTGCAGGGCCCCCCCGGGAAAGGGCCGGAGGAGAGGCCTGGGCCCTTCCCGAGGCCTTGACCCCGTGGCTCTGGTGCCCTCCCGGAGCCGCACGCCCCGTGCCCAGGGGCGATCAGGCCTCCCCGCCTTCGTGCCGGGGGTCGCCTGGGGAGGGGGCCGAGGCGGGCGCTGGCCTCCCCTCAGACGCTGCCTCTCCCCAGGTCCCCCCATCATCTCCAGCGACTCTGTCCAGTACGCGGTGCGCGGCAACCGGGGGAAGGTGGAGTGCTTCATTGGGAGCACCCCGCTCCCGGACAAGATTGTGAGTCTGCCCGGGGGGGGGGCGGAGGCACAGACGGGGCCCCCTTTGTGGGGCCCGGGCTGGAGGGATGTGGGTGGCAGGACCACTCCGGGCAGCCCATGGCTGCGTCGCTGACTGGTTCCTCTCATCCGCCCCCCCACCCCCCGCTGCTGGAAGGCTTGGGGCTGGAAGGAGAATTTCTTGGAGATGGGGACCCTGGAACGGTACACGGTGGAGCGCAGCAACACCGGGAACGGCGTGCTCTCCACCCTGAGCATCAGCAACGTGATGGAGGTCGATTTCCAGACGCGGTACAACTGCACAGCCTGGAACAGCTTTGGGCCCCGGACGGCCATCATCCAGCTGGAAGAGAAAGGTGCGGGCGGCTGCAGCCGGAAAAGGACAGCTCTGTCCTGTCCGGCTCTTAAACGGAAGCTCGGCCAGGGCCCGCGGCCTGTGGGACGCTCTCCCCAGAGGGGAAGGGGCCTTCCTCGCTGGCTCCTGGCGTGCGGCGCCTCACGCCTCGCTGGGAAATGGCCCCGGCTCGTCCTTCCTCAGCTTTTGGAGCAGCCGCCTCTTCCCTTCTGCTGGATTTGGGCAGCGCAGATGGAGGGGCTGGTGGGGGCAGGAAAGACGCCCGAACTGCCCCGTGCTGGTGAGCCGGGTGGCTTGGGCGTGACCTTCCCATAATCCTCCTCCTGGGCATGAGCCCTGGCCCCCCCCGGGCACACTCCGAAGCCAGCTGTCCTGCCCAAGGGCTGTTCCCCCACACCCCGAGTCACCGGCTCCCCGCCTTTGAGACTGCAGAAGGGGGTGCAAGGCCGGAAGCGGGGCCGTGGCCCACGGCTGAGGTGGGAGGCCCGCTGAGATGACGGCTGCCCGTTTCCCTCCCGCCCCGCTGCAGAGGTCCTGCCCGTGGGCATCATCGCCGGCACGACGATCGGGGCGGGCATCCTGCTCACCGTCTGCTTCGTGGCGCTGGCCTGCTTCCTGTACCGGCGGCGCAAAGGCAGTGAGTGTCGCGGCCGGGGGGCTGCGGGGAGGGCACAGGGGCTGGCGGGAAGGGGGCGAGGGGGTCGCGCTGGTGGGAACGATGGAAATCGTAGTCCGGCGCGTGGCGGGGCTTCGGCTGGGGAAAGGTGCGAAGCAGCAGTGAGGATGGCAGGTCAGGCAAGCCGGGCAGGCTGGGGGGGGCTGAGCGGCTGGGCCCCCGTGTGCCCAGACGTGGCTCAGGCCGCCCTGCTGGAAGGCGGGCTGCAGTCACTGAGACACAAGGCCAGCGCTCGGCGGGCTCGCGAGCACAGCGTGGAGGCAGCGGAGGGCGGCGCTCGGGGCCCGGCCCAGCGCCCCGGACGAAGCGGCAGTGGCCTCTGCCCCCGCAGGCCGCAAGGACGTCACGCTGCGCAAGCTGGACATCAAGGTGGAGACGGTGAACCGGGAGCCCCTCACGCTGCACGCGGACCGGGAGGAGGACACCGCCAGCGTCTCCACGGCGACGCGCGTCATGAAGGCCATCTACTCGGTGAGCAGTGAGGCCGCGGGGGGGAGCGTGGCCGGCCGTCGTCGCCGCCGCCTCTGGCTCCGGGCCGTGTGCCCGCCTGGGGGCTCCCTCGCCTGCGACCAGGCACTGGGGGGGGGGCGCGCTCCGTTCGGCCGCTCCCAGGGCTGAGGGACCCCCGAGGGCTTTGCCCCGCGGCCTGCTGGGCTGCCCGGCATCGCCGAGCGTCCTGCGTCCTTCCGCCGTCCTCTCCTGGCTGGGAGGCCACCCCTTCCGCTGCCCCGTCCGCTTCTTCGCCATCCCACGGCGCTGGAGCTTCCTGGCGCTTGGGCAGCCCCCACCCAGTCCCTCCGGTTGCTGAGGCGTTTGGCCTTCCGCCCCACAGGCCACTGGCCCTGGGCCCCCAAGCATGCCTGGGACGGCCATGGCCCTCGGGCTGGAAGGGGCTGAGCACCCCTGGCCTGCCGGGACCACCTTGGCTGAGCCACGGGCGCGCCGGAGGTGCTGGCAGGCCTCCTCGGCCGCACAGCTGGACCGGGTTCTGCCCGCCACGCCTGGGCAGCCGTGCAAATCAGCCATGAGCCTCGAGGGGGAAGTGGGCTCCGGGAATGGCAGGGGCTCGGGGGGCTCGGGGCAGGAGCATGGCGTGGCCAGGAGGCGCCTGCCCCCCTCCCCGCCCGCTGGCAGATGTCCGTGGAGGGGCATGGCGCCCCCACCTGGGAGCACCCTGCTTGGCGGTGGGCCCTGCGGCAAGCCCTGAGCCTGGCCTTTGCCCCCAGTCCTTCAAGGACGATGTGGACCTGAAGCAGGACCTGCGCTGCGACACTCTGGACACGCGGGAGGAGTACGAGCTGAAGGTGAGCTGAGCCGAGCCCAGCCGAGCCCAGCCGGGCCAGCACGCGGCCGTGCGGGCGGGAGAGTCGTGCGGGCGGGCCGAGCTCAGGGGCCACGTGCGTGCCAAGGGACCTCGCCGGCCGGCCCTCCGCGGGCCTCCGCTCTCCCCCGCCCGCGCGGCTCGGGCCTCCGCCAGGCCGTGCAGCCTTCTGGAGGGACCGTCCCGCCTGTGGTGCGGCTCGGGAGGGGGGGCCGGCCGGCAGGCAGCCACGGGGGCGGCCTGCCCCGTCTTGGGCTGGGAGGGCCGGGCCCCCTCCGGCCCCCCGCTCGTGCGTGCGTGCCTGGTGGGGAGGAAAGAACGGCAGGAGCCCCGTGGGGGCTGGCCATGCGTGACCCCGGCCCTTCCCTCGCAGGACCCCACGAACGGCTACTACAATGTCCGCGCCCACGAGGACCGGCCCTCCTCCCGCACGGTCCTCTACGCCGACTACCGCAACCCCGGGGCGGCCCGCTATGACGCCCGGCCCTCCTCCCGGCTCTCGCACGCCAGCGGCTACGCACAGCTCAGCGGCTACGGCCGGGGCGCGGCCCCCGAGTACAGCGGCGAGCCCGTCCCCGGACCGGCCCCGGGCGCCGCCACGGCCGAGACAGCCAGCCAGCTCTCCTACGAGAACTACGGCGGGCACCCGCCCTTCCCGGCCAGCGCCGGCTACGCCACCTACCACCTGGGCTACAGCCAGCCCCCGCCCCCCGCCCTGGACCGGGCCGCCTACGACGGCTACGACCCGCTGGGCACGTTCGCCTCGGCCACCCGCTTCTCCTACACCTCCTCGGACTACGGGCAGCGGCTCCAGCAGCGGATGCAGACGCACGTCTGAGCGGCCCCCCCGGTGCGGACAGCGCGGGGGCCTCCTGGCTGCCCCCTGATATTCAGGGGCTTTGCCCCCACCCCCTGGCCCCCGGACTGGAGGGGCCGGCGGGCGTGTGCCATGGGCAGGGCCGTGGCTCTCGCGCGGGCTCCCCGGCCTGGAGGTGGGCCGGGGCCGCCCACCAGCCCCCTGGGCGGCCCCCTGCGCACCCCGGTGGTGCAGCGGGGTGTGAGGCGGGCACGGATGGTTCCCCCTGCGCCCCGAGGTGCCTCCCAGCCCCCCCAGTGGGGCTCCCGCCCCCTCAGTGTGGCCGTTGAGCGCTGTGAAGAGCGCGGCCCTGGGCAGAGCAGTCCTGCCCGGCGGTGCCCTTCCCCACATCCGGGGCCCGCGATTCCTGCTGGAGGGACGGAGTACCCAGGCCGCCTCATCTGACGTGCTTCCAAGAGCTTCATGGGGACGAGAAGCCGGCCTGTTTTTCCCGCCAAGCCAGCGGAAGAGCCAGAGGTGGGAGGGGTCTGCAGAATGGGCCAGGGTTGGGGTAGATAGCCGGGGGAGGCAGGGGTCCCGGCTGGCCTCCACGGCTGGCCTGGATGCCCTTCGGTTCCTAGTCACAGGGACTAGAAACTTCCTCTGAAAAGGAAGCAAAAGCAGGGGCCCTTGCAGGGCTGACGGGTCTGTGCTGCTGGTAACCCAACGCAGAGTCTGCCGCAGCCACCCCCCCCGCGGCACCCCCCCCCCGCAGCCACGCCGTCTCCTCTCCCAGCTCGGGGGCCGAGGCGGCGCTCCTCAGGTGGCTTGACGCACGATCGTTCGGGGTACCGGTGAACCCCGTGGCCCCCCGTCGCGTTCAGTGGGAGGCGCGATGCCGGGAATGTTTGCGCTAGAATCCAGAGAGGATCCGTTCCCCCCTCCCCTTCCGCCCCTCCACCCCTTTCCGGAGGGCCTGAAAGGAGCAGGGGCATTTGGGGGGCTTGGCGTTCTGCCCGCCGCGCCTTGGGAGGGTCCCCAGCATGGGGGGGGGCAAGTGACAGGGCCTCCCCCCACCGTGGTCTTCCTTCCGCTCGACCGCCCGTCTTTTGCCCTCGGGATGCAGCGGGCCGGGGAAGCGCCTCGCCCTCTGGGCGTGTGGCCGGGTCTCCTCCTCCACCCACGGGCTGCTCGCAGGCCGCCCCTTCGGCTGCTCCCGTGCCTTAAAACTCCTGCTTGGCACACAGCGCGTCGCGTGGCGTCACCACCGGTGGCCCGACGAAAGGCAGCGGGGCCCCCCTCCGCCCCGGGGCCATGTGGGGGGCGATGGCTGGGCTTCCGGGGGCTCCCATCCCTTCCATGCCCCTCCCCGATGTGGCCTGCGCCCCCCCCACCCCGGCACAGTTCCTTTCTCAGGGGAACGGCGGGCTGAGCGGGATGCTGGCTCAAGAGCCCACTCGGTGCCCCTTCCGGGCCGTCCTCCTCCCCAGGAGCAGGGACGTGGGGGCCCAGCGGTGGGCCGCTCGCCCCCAGCGGACCCCCTCAGTGCAGCGCTGGGAGGGACTCGGCGTCCCCGCCACTGCCTTCAAGGGTACGTCCTCTTCTGCGCGGGTCGTGTTTCTGGTACGATCGCCCAGCTGTGGCACGCGGGGAGGCTGGGGCAGGGCCCTCTGCACGCGTGCCGGAGCCCTTGGGCTCCGAGGGGTGCGTGGGGCGCAGGGGGTGCTCCCGGGGCCTCGCCCCCTCCCCTGTGCCACGAGGCCAGCTGAGGACTCCGCAGGGAGCACATGGGTCCCGGGGTGCCGTGCGGCGTTTCGGGGCGTTCCTCCAAGGGGAGCCCTCGGGAAGGGGCAGGGCAAGGAGCTTTCCCAGCTGCAGGTCCGCCCTGGCCAGAAGAGCTTTCGTGCCCGAGTACCCGCCCCGCCATGCCCCCCGAAGACGAGCACAGCAGGGGACGGGGAGCAGCCGGGGCCGCCTCGAGCCCCGGTTTCCGGGCCGGGGTTCATCCCACGCCCTCCGGTGTGTGTTTCCGGGCCCCTTGGCAGGCCTGCCGCTCTCCGCCGGCACGTGGGCGACTCCAGCGCGTGGCGGCCGTGCCCGAGGTGCCGGGGCTTGAGCAATACGTATTCCACGCCCTTCCATCGCACGGACGCGCCCGGAGGCGAGTCCACCACGCTGGCCGTCCCAGGGGCCCTCCGGGCTCTCAGCCAGGGGCTTCTCCTGTGCTTTTAATCCCCCCTCGCCCCTGGAGACCATGGCATCTGGTGCCCTCACGCCCCACCTTCCTTTTTTAAGTTGGGTTTTTCTCTCTCATTCTTTTAAAAAATATTATGTACTATATTTTTAGTCTTAAACACGATATATTATATATATTTAATTTTTTATATATATAAAGCTACATGTAAAAAAGAGCCCCTTGCCTTTATTTTTGTGCGGACGATGGCGTGGAGAGGTTAGCGAGGGGGCAGCTGGCGGGCATGGCTTCCTGTGGGGATGATGGGACGTCCAGTTCCGGCCGCCAGACCCAGCCAGCGCTGCCTGTGGGGAACCAGCCCGGCCCGGCCCGGGTTGGCCAGGCTCCAGCACCCCCCGGATGCGTCTCGCTTGGGACCCGCTGGCTGCCGAGTCCTGGCAGGGGCCGGTGGGGCCTTGAGGCTGCTCCTGGCGGGCGCAGTGGGTGAAGCGCCTCTCCGCCCCGGCTGCGAGCGGGACTCAGTCCAGGTTCCTCCGAAAAGGAGCTCCCCTTGCGGGGCCTTTCCGCCTGCCTTGACTCCCGGGCAGCCCCGGGTCAGGCAGAGGCGGCTGATCTGAGGGGCCTGTGCTTCCTGAAGTCCCCCGCCAGGGAGAGGCCCGTCCATCGCTGGCCAAGCCCCTTTCCTGGAGGGCCCCAGCCTGCCTCGAGGCGGCCTGTGCACCTGCCCTTGCTCCGTGTCTCTGCGCCAAATGAGCAAACACACATCCGGGAAGTGAAGCATAAGTGAAGGCTGTCGTGTCTGCAGCACTTGGGACCCTGAGGTAGACGACCTCTGAATATGGAGGCTCTGCTCAGCCACCCTGGCGAATTGTGGCTCATGTTGCTTCCCCGAATCCAAAGAGCTCTGGATCGGGGCGGTGAGTTTGCACAGGAGGCCTGCTGGTGGCGGTCAGCATCCAGACAGCCGTGCCTGGAATCCCGCGAGATTTGCCAGCGGGATCCGGCTCAGCGGGATCCGGCTCTCCAAATGACTCATCGGTACAGGGTTTTGTCTGTCACACAGTGGGCATTGCAGGGATATGGGAGGAGAGAAGGGCCCGAAAGGGCGGGGGGCTGTATTGGAAAACTTTGCTCACAGCCTCATGTGCCTCTGGGGGAAAAAGAGACAGCAAAGCGCAGCTCTGGGAGCATTTCTAGAGCGCCAAGTGTCCCCCAAAACTCGAGCGCACCTTTGTGGTGTGCAAGGCAGATTTGCACGGATTCCAGCCTGTGTGATCCCGCAGCTGTCCCGAGTGACAGGCCAGGGGGTCCCAGCCGGGCCCCCTCGCACATGTGGGCTGTTGGCTCCCAGCATCCCCTGGTCAGCTTGGATGTTGCAGTCCAACACCTCTGGAGAGTCTGGAAGCCCTGGTGGCCCTTCCGGCCAGTCCATGTTGGCCATATGAGATTTCAAAGCATGGGGACTAGAAACTTGCTTTTTTTAATTAAGGGAGGGGCCACAGACTCAGGAGTAGAGTCCCTACTCTGCAGCCTAACGGTCCCACTGAATCCAGAACCCCGCAGGTTCTGCTGGGGGGGGTGACCCTCAGGCCCCTGGCGGGCACTTCAAGGGCTCTGCATGGAGTTGTGCTGCCCTTCACATTGGACGGCCGGCGCTCCACGTTTGGGGCGGCATGTGGGACTCGGGTGTTCCCCACTTGTGGGTATTTCCAGGGCCAAGGTCTTTCTGCCCCACTGGTGCAGAAATAGCCACACGCTGCACGGAGAGCCCGCAGAAGCAGGGCGTGGGATCAGCCCCTTGGCATGCGGCGGGCAGAGCCGGGCCAGCCCCCCGGCCAGATCCGCGGAGACGAGGCAAGGCCCCTGGGGGCGAGGGGTGCCTGGATCCCCTTCTCCTGAGGCGCGGCCTGCGCACCCCCGGCCAGCGGGGGCACTTTCCGCAGGCAGGGATTGGGGCTCCCGGGAACAGCGGGC